GTTTGATATAATATTATATAAACAAGTTAGATAATACGATATTAATTATATAAATATTATTATTACGTGGACCGGCATATTGATAATAATGAATGAAAACTTATTCGTTTGTACGTGTTGCGAACCGCCGCCGCAAGGTCGCATTCGATTTAAAAGAATAGCCCATAATATAATATAGTAGGTATTAGATCACTAATCGAATCAAATTTTTTTTTTTTTTAATAAACAAACGTAACATATCATCGACACGAGTGATGAAGAATTGTGATAAAATCGATACTTAAACCATTTGAAACAACAAAAAAAAAAAAAAAAAAAAAAAATTAAATAATAATTAAGTTATTATAATAATAATAAAATATAGTAGAAAAGTTTACGACGGATAATATTATAATGTTACCGTAAAACTTAAACGGTAATGATTGTGCTTATATGCTCAAAACGAATAAAAAAAAATATATATACATATATATATATATATGTATGCATGTATGTATGTATGTATGTATAAATATTAAGTACTCGCTACAAACATTATACGATACCGACGATTATTCGAAAAGTGTAGGATTTCGATTGCCAAACAACTGTTTTTTTTTTTTTTTTATATATATATTGCCGAGTAAGAAAAAAAAAATAAATAATAAGAAAAATCGATACATTTTGTATTCAGTTAGTTTTTCGGGTGTATTTTTATTATTATTATTTGTTCGCGTTTATGTTTTCTTCGCGTGTTTGAATAATACGATTTAATAAAACAAAAATAATAACCCATTTTCGTATAAAATATTTTAAGGCTCCGGATAACAAAAGTGTTAATAATCATAATATTATAAAACCTTGTGTATTATACTATTATTATTACACACACACACACACACATACACACACACATACACATACACACACACACACACACACGCACACTATATGCGTAGTATTTTAAAATTGTGTAGCGACGATCAATTTGCTCGTTAAATTTCGAATAACGACGATTCTATACATCCAGGGCGATGGACATAACGTGAGGCGCCCATAATTGCGGAAGGGGTTTTTTTTTTTTTTTCCGGAATTCGTCTTGAACAAGCTGCTCTATAAAAACGAATACTCTCGGAGAAAACGAACGTCTTACGTGACGTTGATCATCGCCCTGTATGATGTATTATAATAGGCTTAGCTTTATTAATTATATATTATTGATATTTAGCAGTGTAATTTTCGCTATCTGAATATTATATACATATACGTTTTGCAGCTGTGTTTTAGTCGACTTTTGTAAATAATATATACGTATATTTACGAAATGAAGAAAAAAAAAATACTTTTTATATAGCGAGCCGTTTTCATTTTTATATAGAGCGTTTAATAGGATTATTTGTTGTGTTAATGTTTGTCTGTTTTTTTTTTTCTTTTTTTTTTGGTATAACTTTGATATATATATATATATATAATAATAATATTTTATATTGTAATACTAATTGAATCGTGTCCCTTTGGTTAATCCCTACCCTTGTACCAATATTTATATTATACGATAGTCCCCGCTAGTACTATTTTTTTTTTTTTTTTTTGTATATATAAACGAAAAAAATGAAAGAACCGATAGAAAGAAACAATCTTCTCCCCTACTCTCACTCCGTTAAGACGTTTTGCTTCGAGTACTCCCCGCGCCGAAATCATTTCCTGTGCTCAATACACTCACATCTCACACACACCACCGTTTGTCTGCCGGTTTATAATAATCATTGATATTTTTTTTTGTTTATTATCATGTTTAAACATAATACGTATGTAATATTATATGATATAAATGGCCTAAAAAGAAGAAATGGTGGTTTTTCACGACAAATCCCCCAGAATGAATAATTCTAATAATATTAAGGATACTATATATTATTATACTATAATAGTTATAAACTAATGTGTGGTAAATATTGTAGTTATTTTTTTTTTTTTTAATAAAAAAAAAATATATATATATACTAATTATAATAATAATACATTTAATTTAAATTAATCGATTAGATGGGAAACGTGCGCAGGCCGAATCGAGAATAGCCGCCTAAAGTAGTGTTTTACGAAACAATAAAAAAAAAAAAAAAAACTAAAATTAAATATAAAAACAACGTAAGTTTAATATTATATAATAATAAGGATATTATTATATACCTATAATAATTATTAAATTATTATAATAACGAAAAGAGCATATAAAAAAAAAAAAAAAAAAAAAAAAAAAAACGAATGAAATGAAAAGCGTGTATATAAATAAAACGATATTGATAAATAATAATAATCCTAGGATAACCAAAGTGTAATTGTGTAAGCGTAGCGTGTAAGTTATTTCGCTGGTCCTCCGTAACGGGACGAGCTGAGTCATAATTATTAATATTTAAACGATAACAACAATCGTGTACATTGTAATATTTAGGTTAAAAAATCTGCACCACGTAATTACATTATTACGACGTTAATACATAATATTATTATAGTTATAAAAAAAAAAATAATAATAATAAATATATAATATATAAACGAAAATCCTTAGACATTAGTGTTTTTTTTTTTTTTTTTTTTTTTTTAGAAATAATACGATTATTATAATATACTATTGTAATACATATTATATAATATATAATACTAATAATAAATGTTGTGCGAGTATTTTTAAGTGTAAAAAAAAAAAAAAAAACAATGTTATATTGACTTTTATATAATAATATAGCAATAAGACAACTCGTATGTAATATATTAAACCTAAAATAACGGCGTTATGACGAAAGAGCCGATAATACAATAATAATATAACGTTTCGCGCAGAGTTTCTCGGGTCGCTAAAGCGCCGTATAAAAAATACACAATATTGAATAACGATAATAATAATAATAAAAACATTAAAAAACGAATCGCACCTTCGGACGTAATACGACGCGTTATAGATACCGCTGCTCGTTGTAAAATTACTATTAAATAGCCGAATATCGTCACGTTTACAACGATACGGAGTCGCCGGCGCGCATTAATCCAATTCGTATTCGGCGAAACACGCGTACGTACAGAACGTCACGGTTAACACGCGCGCATTGCCTTATTCGCAACGCGTTTTTAAAACGTTTATTCGGTCAGCGGAATCGGATCGGCTCGCAACCCTGGCAGGCGTTAAGAAATGCACGCGCGCGGAGCGGCTAAAAGCGCGCCAACACTTTCGACGAGAACCGATTATCGAATTACACACGTGAAATTGTGTGTGCATTGTAAACGAGTCCGATCCTTACGTTTGATAAACCGGTGTGTATGTGAACCGGCAACTAGTACGCATTGGCCGCGTGTTGAATTAGTGCGTGTTGGCGACTACACAAACGATAATAATAACAACTGTACGGACGCGGCGTGCGTTCGTAACGCCCGTAGTAAACATATACGCGTGGGTTTTCAGTTTAGCGCGTTTTAAATATCCGATAACATTTCGAATAATTACGCAAATACAATCAGGGTGTTCATTAAACGCGCACTTAAATAATATCGTATTGTCACGTTGCACAAGCCGATGAATTCGTTTTTGTACAATCAAAATAAACGTTGACAAACCCGGTCGTAACGCCTCCGTAAACCCGTCGGTAGAATGTAATAATGAAAAACATATATATGTAAATTAGTTGCGAGATCTCGTTTCTTGCGTATATTATTTGATAATCATATTGTAATATCGCGTAGTATCGTTGTTGTTGTTGTTGTTGTTGTGTTCTCTACGCGCAACCTACAGTCGTGGTGGGAAAACGACGAAGATAACAGTTTGATATCATAAACAATACACGTAAACGCGAACCCAGAGAAAACTATCGGATCGGGCACTTTTCCCAAAATGAAAAAAAAATAAAAAAAAATAAATAAATAAGATTATTTACTGACCTCAAACGAAAACCTGGCGTGCACACCAATACATTGGTCCACACCTTATCGCTGCTCCGAAAGGAAGTCGTAAACGTCTAAACCTAAAACATAATCGACATAAAAATCACGACGTGTGTGGACGGGAGCAGATGGGAAATGCCAGACAACCACGTCGCGCGGTCATTATAGTATAGGCCACGGGGAAATCGGTCGCGGGATTTTGTAAGCCGGTGTAGCCGATCGGGTTTTCGTTTATCAGTATATTTTGTATTATTATTTGTTGTTGTAAAACAGGTCGCGGCACGTGCGTGCGTGTAATTAAATCGAAATAATATTATTGCAAATGTGGCGCACCCGAGCGGAGAGCTACGGAGCTATAAGAGCCCCCCCCTCCGTCAAATTATGTATTTATTAAAATTTAAGACATTATTGAATGTCGTGCGTAGTTATTAAACGGGCGGTTAAAGTATAAAACTCCCTTGCTAAGATCACTCGATGCGCCTTTGCACATTATTTATACTTGTAATATACCGTTTAATCTTCGTCGAGTTTTTAATATTTTTTACGTCAGCCAAATCGTGAAAACATCGTGTTATCGTCATTTTCGTCTGTATAGTTTTGCGTATAGCGAATGTAATTCGTACATCATTATCGGAATGTGCAATCAAATTCGGTGCAGTTTTATCAATATCATGATGCGCACAAAACGCGGTTTTTTTTTTTTTTTTCTAGGTTTCTACGTACAACGTATTTTGCGTGCGACGATGTTTAATTGAAATTATTATATTGTTATCATAATTATAAATAATATTATATATTGTATTTGTCAATCATCGTTCGTTTGTGCCGAATTGGCCGAGACGCGTTCGTAAATTCGAAGGGAAACAAAATCGTCTCCTTCCCCCCCCCCACCCCCCAATACGATTGTGTTGCGACGTAACTTATATGTGTGAAAAAAAAAAAAAATAAAAAA